GTGATGCTTAGTCCCTGCATAAATCATGCCTTTAATCTGACAATTGTCAGCAGGAATCACATAAGAGCGAGACGCCCCCTTTACTGTCCCTGGAAGCCATTACTAACCACAGCAATCTTACCGTGCACTGTGCACTGACAGTATTTCCATCTTGTTTAAATTAAGTTGCACCACATATAAATAGTGGTTATATAATATAGCAGTGAGTGTGTATATATGGTATAATATAGGGTTATATACACACGCACGCACATATGTCTGGTATTACAGTTCTGTGCGTGTCTGGGTATCCATGTGATGCTGATTAAGTGCAGGCTTCTCTCCGTAAACGCAGAACAATTCTAGCCGCTCGCAGTCACTCACTTAACCCTGCGGAAGAATTTTACTTCCGAAAGCCCAGGTTAATCATTGCTCCCGGCTGACCTTGCATAGGAAAAACAGAACAACAGAACCCTCTGTGGTACCCCCCCCCCCCCTACCAGCCTAGTGCTGCCTAAGACAGAGACTACAGATCTTCACCCCTGAGGGGCCAAATGTGATGAGTGGCAGCAGATCCTGTGCCCCGTGGTTCTGCCTGAGATATGGGGCAGGCTGCAGAGGCATGCAGGACCCTGTCTGGCACATGAGGCAGAAGAAAAGCAGATCTGGGCTTGATAAGTAGAACCAGACCTGTCCAGTGGGTATTTTACGCCACTCAGTTAAAATAAAACACAAACAGCCTACCAGCCAGTGGCTCCACGTCCATCAACAGTCAATCAAAAGGCAGTTTTTACCATTTGGAAGAGTTTATCACTAATATAAATCTTTCTGCCCTGATTATTTTAACTTGGTAAAAGGGTGCATAAGCCGTGTCTTAAATCAGTACATTCCAGCAATCGCAGAATCTGTAAACACCAAACTATAGGACATCCATGGAGAAAAGACATTTAACCTGACAAAGAACACAGGGAAGGTGACTATCGGTACTGGGGACTCCAGTCTCGACGCTGTAACGTAAGACGCAGAGCAGCAGCAAGTGGGCCTCGATGCCGCAGAAAGCGTGCATTCGTGCGTTGCGAGCTGTTTTCCCCTTTCTCCTGTGTCATCAGGCATGCATCCCGGGAACAATGGGATGTCTCTGGATTCACTGGACTTTCCAGCTGCTGCGGAGGCCTCAGAGGCCTGTGGCAGGCAGTAGGCCTTCTTAATGAGAGCACCGCCTTTGTTGCCCTCAGCTCAAGACGACGCTTCAGTACATGCACGCTGTTGGCCTTCGGTAAGCCGGTCCTGAATTACGAACAGCATCGGCAAACCACTCTGACAAACCACGGTCTGACACGCGCGTGCATCTGTACTCCTATGAAAACTAAACTCCTTTTCCTCGATGGTTTGAAGCCGCGCTGCGGTAATGGAAGCGGCAGGCAGGCGGTGAGTTCACCGCACGAGTAACCTGTGAACTGGGGGCCAACTTCGTTAGGCTAATTTCCATTTATCTCTCTCACAGTCGCTGGTGCCAAAGTACAACGGTGTTGAAATATCACTCTCCGAAACACATGGGCTAACATTTGGCTAACAGCACAGGATCGTTTTATTAACTTACAGTTCATTTCATAGACTGCTGCTCATGTTGCTAACATATGCTGTCCTACCATTTACTCCTCTATAATTAGAAGAGCCATATGAAAGGGTCAGCTTCCAGGCAAATGCTAAAATAATCCTGATTTGCAGGGCCGGGGGGAGGGACTGGGGGGAAAACAAGGGGCGCCATCATTCAGGGTAAGGATACGACTTAAAGGGGGGGAGGGGAGTGATTAGTTGTCACTGTTGACACACCATAGCACAACAACAAAATGTGTCCTCTGCATTTAACCTGTATATCACATCACGATATAACAGGGGGCAGCTAATTCAGCGCCTGGGCTGTCAGTACCTTACTTAGTGCATCTCAGTGGTACTTTGCTAGTCAGGGATTCAAACCAGCAATCTTTCAATTACAAGTGCACATCCCTAATCATTACGCCACCACTGCCACTGTCCCTAATCATTACGCCACCACTGCCACTGTCCCTAACCATTACGCCACCACTGCCACGGTCCCTAACCATTACGCCACCACTGCCACGGTCCCTAATCATTACGCCACCACTGCCACGGTCCCTAATCATTACGCCACCACTGCCACGGTCCCTAACCATTATGCCACCACTGCCACTGTCCCTAACCATTATGCCACCACTGCCACGGTCCCTAACCATTACGCCACCACTGCCACTGTCCCTAACCATTACGCCACCACTGCCACTGTCCCTAACCATTACGCCACCACTGCCACTGTCCCTAACCATTACGCCACCACTGCCACGGTCCCTAACCATTACGCCACCACTGTTTAAACAGTGCAGTCTGTGTGGTTGGGGCTGCACTGTTCCAACCAGCAGTAAAAGCACAGACCTGGAGTTTGTGTTATGAAGCCGGATTTCTTGCTTAGCCAGATAACTTGTCAGAGTTCAGTTACCCCAGTTTAAACGGCCTTTATCTTCATTCATTTACATTTAGCCCAGACTACCTTTAATCCGACAAGTTATCTGGCTAAGCAAGAAATTCATGATACAGGCCCTAGATCTGCTCTTCTGAACATGCTCTGCTTTAGCCTGACTCCTGGGACATGTCCTTCCTGATTAAATATTTATTTATTGGTCTGGTTCAGACATTCCCTGCTTACTTTTTATTTAAGTCCTCTGCAGCCGATGTGAGAAGTGGGCGCTTTAGGCCCACATTGAATCGTACAATAGTGATCTTCTCCCCAGACGGGATCAGTCAGATACAGTGTGAGCATCAACAAGAAGCAGCGGCAGACAAAGATAGAAAGAGACCTTGATTTTAAACTCCAGATAAATCCCGACTTGGCAATCAACACATCTGGTATCTTAAGAAAACCACATCATTGTAATCCCAAAAGAACGAAGATTCGATCTCTCTATCCCCACACTGCATAAATCAACCGGGATGAAAAGAGTGCCTTTAAAATTTGGTGATGATGTGTCTCAGATCCTTCTAGTGTTTTCAGCCCCTGTCCTTGCGCCTCTTATTCTCTTATAGAAGAACTAAAAGCATGTAGCTCAGCGGGGTATGGGATCAGTCTGTCCTGGTTATAGCAGAAATGGATGTGATCAGTTAAAGCACAACAGCACGAGTGAGAGTGTGGATCTCGCACCTCAAACTGAAGGAGCAAGATTTTAGCACCTTTTCTGGGGCTACTGTCAAGAACACAACCCAGCAACCCAGCAACCCAGTTCTGAACTTGGCCCAAGACTTTAATTATCTGTGACTTGGGTTTCTGTTACAGTAAATAGAGAGACTTTTTCTAACAAGAGAGCTTTAATTAAAGCAGAATATTGTGATATAGACTCAGGAGCACCCACAACCCTGAATAGAACAAGCAGTTTCAGAAAATGTATGGATGGATGGATTGATATTAATGTGGTGCTATATATCAGAACATCTGCAGGTCACAATAAATCAAATTTAGCAAAAAAAAAAAGAAAGGACTAACTAAGTATTTTATATATCCTGTTTCTGAGAATTAACTGAAAGTGAAGATGTAAAACTAGGTCATAACTAAAGAATATGTCATGAAAACAGGTTAAAGTTGACTTGTTCTTAACGCATGCTTCTGTTGGCTAGTGTCAGTCCCTGGGGACTGTACTGAAAAACATAGGCAGGCTGATGATAACGAGACATTTCAAATCAAAAGCAGCAGATGGAGGGAACATGTTTTGTCTTCTCTTTGATCGTAAGGGTTTCATTCTTATAACTAGGCAGAGTATCAGTGTGAATCATCGACCGCAACCTTGACTGGGAGCTGCCTTGCTCCCCTGCTGGGATGGAAAGAGCCACAGGTCAACAGGCCTAAAAGAGGAAATCGGCGAATCTGATTTGAATGACCGTCACAACTGACATGGAAGTCAGTCATACATGTTTGACTTCCTGTCACATGACTATGGGGGAAGAGTCAGAGGCAGATTTGGTACCTGCCTCCACCAGGCAGCTCAGGAGGGAGGAGGTTCTGAGCCTCTTTCTGCGCAGTAGCTCTGGCAGCAGGGACTGGCGCGCTGGGTGGTCTCAGGTCAACACCCCCCCGTCGGAGCCGCACATGCCAGCTCTCACCAAAAACGTTCCGAAAGCAGCTGTCTTCTCACAGCACTCACCCTGTTTCAGTCTTTTGTGAGAATGTTTGCAGAGACCTCCATTTGCATTTTCAAATTTCAAAATTACTTGAAGGGCAGAGCCCCACACTGAAAGTTTTCAACAGGCCTATGTCAACAGTAACTACATGATTTGTTTCTCAGATTATAATAAAGACATATTTTATAAGCTTAGAACAACAGCCTGGGACATAAAAAATGTTTGTAAAAGTCATCATATTTATTTAATTTATTTCATTTATGTCTCCTGATTACGGTCTGTTGATTTTAACCATTGAGCCCTATTATATTTTTTCAGCAGCTCCCTGAAAAGCAGATAATCTTCATTTAGCTGGGACGCCGTTATTTCAGGGACATTACTGTCTTCAGATATTTTTACACAAAAATGCAAATATGACTGGCTAAGTGTCATTTTGTGAGTGTTTTTTTTTTTTACATTAATTAGAATGTGCTAATTATTCTCACCAATTTTTCCCCTGCTGGTTACAAATAGCCAATTACAAAGCAATGAGAACAACGCCCGACAAGACGAGAGAGCATTTAAATTTTTGGAATTTTGAGTATTACAAGAATGAATTTCAAAAGCAATTGATTAAAATGGCGGATGACCTCATACCAGCGCGTCGAAATGTATCACTAAAAAAAGTGCCTAATATTCTAACAGAAGAATTTACTCCGCTTAAACAGATCCAATTTGAGATGATAAAACAACATTGCAGATTGCCTGCAGTCACAGTGCGGCCCAGAGTGGCCACAGCCAGAACTGCCCAGGTACCATGGGGGTTAATGAGGGCTGCGGGTCTCCACTGCACTGACCTGGATCTGCTGCTGGAGGAGGTTGATTTTGTGCTGCTGCTGTAGAAGTTGCTGCTGTTGTCTTGCAATCTGCAGATGGCACAGAGGGAGGGTGTGAGACAGTCCATCAGACACAGGAAGCCCAGGTTGGCTGCCGCTAACTGCCCGCCCTCTGTGGGGGCACGTCCTCACCTGCCCCAGATCCACAGCCGCTAACCTGCCGCGTGGCTCCACGTGCCGGTAATTAGCCACTAAGTAGAATGGCCTCATTTGAGCCCTTTAATCAATGTGTTAGGCTGGTCACGGGCTGCAATGGTACATGCTTACCACGGCGTGATTAGTGCGCGAGGCAGGCCTGCGGAGCCAGAGCCACCAATCACAGAGACATTACAGGGGAAACAGAGAAAAAGACAGGACGGGAGGCAAATCTAACAGCGACACAGAGAGAGGATAAAATGGAACAAAACCCACATTAATTAACACCCAGAGGAGACATCTTTACCCACTGAAGGATGCTGGTCTTCACTCATGGCATATTTGGGAGAAAAAGACACACCTCCCCATGTATAGGAGAAACACACACCTCCTCATGTATAGGAGAAACACACACCTCCTCATCTATAGGAGAAACACACACCTCCTCATCTATAGGAGAAACACACACCTCCCCATGTATAGGAGAAACACACACCTCCTCATCTATAGGAGAAACACACACCTCCTCATCTATAGGAGAAACACACACCTCCTCATCTATAGGAGAAAC